TACTGAAGTCCAAATTGTCAAATATAAGGCCTATTTCTGGTCTCTCGGCATCACAGATGAACAATTTATTTACCAGAGCCGTTACCACAATTGTATATAGTGTAATATTGTATGTGAACATACCACAAGTCACTCTGTGTGTTTCAGTCTGAGAGCACACACAGCAATATAGTTTTGCTACGTTTCAAGTAAGACAGGAAGTGGTAACAAAAATGGCGTCGAATATCAACAATGCAGTACAAACCCCGAAATCACATAATTAGCTAAGCATATTGAAGACAGTGACTTTTGGCTCATCCCTTGACCAGCAATGGTGACATTTTAGATTATAAATCACAGTTTGTTGAGGATTTACTTGACTAATAATGTCATAGTCAAAGAAATATTCCTCATCAAAAAACATGTACACTAATCCCATCTAACCGGAAGTCACTCTCTATGTCCATAACTACTCTGATGCAAGAATTCATTCACGTCTCTTGACCGGGATAAATTTATTGAGATCAGGCTGGAAAAGGATTCGGTCATCTAATTATCTTCTATCATTCCTATCAAAACAAACATTCGTAAGTTTACAAGACGTGTTTCATACATAAAAACTGTGTTACATCATATCAGTAAAAAATCTGGGAATAATTATTTCTCAACAGCAGGGTTTCCGAAAGTGGATGAAAAGTGACTTTGAGAACAAACCAGCCATTTCACTTTTAAGTTAGGATATAAAAGTTTATTTTTTATTTCTTCATTAAATTTGTACATTATCAATTTAATGTAAAAAGTCAAAAGTTTTTCTCGTTCAATACAATACTCTTATTTTGAGGGAGCAAGACCTGGTCAAACAATACCTAGGTGTAGAATACAGAAAAGGTTGGGAAACCCTGCATAAAGTTATTTGAAATTTAAAAAAAATTTTTTAAATAAGACTAAGTGAGCTGTTTTCTCACCAAACAATGGCAGCGACAATCTTTGAACTTCCCATCTACTAAAGTTACTTGATAAAACACGCATTCAAGTAAAGGATGTTTTAATATTCTCCATCAGTGCCATCCCCCCACCAGACTATAAATATTATAATGTCCCTACCCCTTTCAAACCGCAGCTTTATTACACCAACTTTTTCCATGAATCGAAAAAAAATATTACGCACCAAACGCACTGACTGTGTTTTGAAGAATCTCATTTAGGGCAGTTAAAAATTTTATTTAGTGAAATCAGTACTATCTATTAGTTTTAGTGACATTTTTACATGGAGCATTATGCACTTTGATATCCTCTTCTTGCAAGTGCAAACGACTAGTCAGTTCCCAACTACTCAGAATATAATTTTTTTAAAATCTATAACATATGTACCAGGCCACGCAAGTACCAACTACCAACTGAAAAGGTCAACGAACACCCAGGTTGTCATTAAGAAAGTCTAACACAGCAGATGTGCTGGCCAGGGAATTGAACACATTTCTTTCGGCTTTTGGTAACAGGTGCTCCAGCATGAAGATGAGGTGGTGGTGAAAACAAGTAAAAGGGGTGCCCAGAGAAAGAGAAATGTCAAGCTGAAAAGATAAGACAGTAAGGGTAAACAAGTTTTTCAACTGTAACAGTAGCAATGGCAATAATATAAGTATAATGAATTACTTGTGAATGAAATCATACCTTTTTTTTTACCATAAGGGCTAATTTTTTATTTTAAAAAGTATGTCTTGTTTACTAGAGCAGACTGTCCCCAATTGCCAGATTTATTGATTATTTTGATATTTTTATTTGACCTTCAATGTGTTGTAAACGACTAATAAATCAGCCAATGTGAATTTTCTAACAAGATTTAACATTTATCCAGTTCCTTGCAGAAAAGAGTTGACAAAATTAGAGAAGTATGGAAAATATTGTGCATGGACTTTAAATCCAGGAGGAGCCTTGGGAGCTAAGAAGAATCTCTTTATGGACTTACCCAGTCTTTGATACACTGCAATGGAGTTTCGTTATAACCTGAGTACATTGATGGATTAGCCAGGATACCTCGGGCAGCCATGACACCTGAAATATAAACAAACCCACATGTTATTGTTTTTTCTCTTTTGATTAACTTTGATTGTTAAAATAAACCTTGGTATTAGGTAAGTGGAAAAATTAGGAAAAAATAAACTTCAGTAATAAAAAAAAATTTAAATGGACCTAAAATATTATTTTAAATAATGTTAAAACATTTCAACAAACATTGCTTTTTACATTGCTTTTTTTTTACGCAGAGCAAACAAAATTAATTGAACAATATTGCAATGGGCATTTAATAGTTATTATCATAATAGTGACTTTTTATGTATTTTTTAAAAATTTACTGAGACTTGCTAAGGAGGCCCATCTGTGAAAGAAATAAGTAGATGCAGGAAAAAAATAATCATACAATCACTATGTAGACAGAATAGTCAAGTCAGAGGACACCCGTGTCCTGTGGATGCCATGGTTGCTGTCAACCCAAAGATGTTATATTAAGCCATACACTCAAGCCAAATTCCCTTGGGGTATATGAAGCCTTTGCCCTAAAATGCAATAACTCGTAATGTTAGATTATATGTGAGCTAACGCTCCCACGTCAGAATACTTTGGCCAAGTCTTTGGTTAATTTTTGGTTTATTTATTTTTCTTCACCCCTTTTATAAAAATGATTTAACCCTACCAGACCGCTGCACCGACTGTAATTTCCAAATCTGCCGCTATACCGCTGTACCTAATTTTTGGTACTTTACCTAATATGTGAAAAAAATGTGTCACAAACTAAAAGTAACCAACCATTCGAGGTCAAACCTCATGGTTAGCCGTTGCAAGTGTCTGCCCCCATGTGTTTGAATTAACTTTGTGTGGTTTGACGGGAAAATATTCTGAAAATTCACAATGAAACGAGCGGCTAATGAAACAAGCACTTGAACAGGAAAGCGAAGTAAGTCTAGGCTTATCACAGTCCAAAAGGTGATTGATACTTTGGTTGATTCAGACTCTGGGGAGTCAGAATTTTATCAAGAATACTTTTCCAGTTCAAGTGATACATCGCCTGATCATATCTGTGTTGTGTACTTGGAAAAGCACTCCAGGTACAACAAGTAAAATCCTGGACAGTCTAACAAAGACAATCCATGGAAGAAGGTGAAGAGCAACATCTGTTGCTCACTTTGCAAGAAGTACTTATATGTGAAACAAGGTTCATCCTGCTGGGTGGATTGGCACACAAAGGTGGAATGTTGTCGCTAGATGAAAGGTAGACCTATTTTCTACAGCGACAATGTCTCCAAGTTACATCTTATTCTAAGCACTTGTTTGCATGCAACTAAAATTTTTCTAAATCATGTTGTTTTTTTTCTCTTTATTGCTCAGGAGCCCCAGTATAGGGGACAGTTAGGTTCAGGGCTGGTAGGGTTAAGTACCAGTCAGTCCAAAAACCTTTGCGAAATAACCAGTGCCTTCCTGATACACAGCAGTTTCTTACAATCGACATACATGTTCCTTATCATCTACATCCAAGTTCCTAACCATCTGCATCCACGTTTCCTGTCATATCCACAGCAGTTCTTAACCAACTACACCACAGTCTTCCTATCTACATCCCATCCAATGCCTTTCCATCTATACCCCACCCAATTCCTTACCATCTACACCTGTGTATTCTTGAACCTTGTGTACATCATCCATTGATCGTATGTCGCCATTGGCAATGACAGGTATAGAGACTGAGTCTTTCACAATTTTTACAGCATCCAAGTCCACAGGCTGACATCTCTGTTCTTTTGTTCTGCCATGCACTGTAATAAATGATGTGCCCATTTTCTCAACTTTCTGACATAGATCAACTGTTTCCCTAGAAAAGAACATTTTTTTTTTTTAATTAATTTTTAAATTTTTTTTAAGCATTATTAATTTGTAGTAAAGAAATATTTCTTAAGTTTTAAAATAATGTATGCTTGTTATGATTGCCTCATTTTGCACTTGGTATAAACAATTACATAATAATCCATTAACTGTTATTCCTCCTAACTACAATATGTCTTCCTTCTATTTGATAGCATTGTCTTCTTACTTTAACACCTACACCTCTGATCTAATACTAACAAACCTGTTGCAATTACTGTGAGCACACATGAATTTATAATTAATTATTGCTTTCAAATTGTTAAAATTTTATGATTGTAAATACTTGATATCGCTGTGCACCCGTATTTTAATAGAGACTGTAAAATCACTCTTAGCGACACGGCTCTTTGCTTGTTTGATCATATCACACAGCAGGTCTGTTTTTTTCAATAGACAAGCACCATAGCCTTCACTCATTGCCCATCTGTTGTAAAAATTATTTAAGCATGATCAAAAGTTGCATCTTTCTTGTAATCAGATTAAGAATTTAAGCTAAACTATTTTGATATTTAAAAAATAGGAATTTGTCTTTAAAATTTGTATCATTAATCATTTATTTAAGCAAAAATCAAATTTCATGGTCTTCTGAAAGAGAAGCAACACATCTTTAATTATTTGCTTCAAATGCTTCATCATTTTTTTTGTGTGACTTTTTCAACACCCTGAAGAAATTCAAAACAAAAGCAAAAGGTGAAAAAACAACAAAAAAAAACTCACCTTTGGGGGCAGCCACAATTTAAATCTACACCATCAGAAAATCTTGGGATATAAAAAAACAAAACAAATGATTAATTTAGTAATTAATTTATTAATTAATAATTAACTTTGACAAATCTCATTTCATCACACACCAAAATACTTTTTAAAAAAGCCAATAAACTTCTGAATTAAAACTTCATGTTAACTAATTATCAGTAGATGCTCTATTCTTGACAGAGCTGTGGCAAACAGGGAGAGAGAGAGAGAGAGAGAGAGGAAAAAAGTACAAAAATGAACTTACGGTGCAACTATTTCTGTAGCGTTGACAAAGTCATCTACATTGTTAGCAGCAAACTGCACTATCAATGGACGGTCATCTAGGTATTAAAAAAATTGGTCAGTTATATTTATTTTAAGGTTGAATAATATAAGTATTCAGTGAAGGTAGATCACCTTAAAACAGAATTTGAATAATCTTAAATTTGATTGAGTGCAAATTGTAAAATGACACAATCAAGCGCAAACTAAAATTCAGCCAGGTGAGTGACAAAAATTGACGCCAAATCCATTTCAAAAGAGGTTATAAAAGCCTAGACTATCAGAATTATTTTATAAGGGTTCCTTAAGAAAAGCATTTTTGAAAAAAAAATTTAATCCAATACATGCATTTACCACAACTGCTGGTAAAATCATTGTCCCTTGCTTTTATGCTCTTGACAAAGCTGTTTGAAATTATCATGGGAGTAAATGCTAAATCACAGTCATATTTTCTAACAAGTCTTCTAAAAACATGTCTGAAAAAAAATATATTATTAAGGAATTATTTTAATAGCCAAAAAGTAAATGGAAATAAGATCATAAATAATTTTTTTTAAATTAGTAAGGAAATAGTTGTATAGACCACAAATACCACATTTCAGATATAATGATTCAAAAATATAATATTAATTATAATAGAGTAGATAAACAATTTCACTACAACTGTAATAGTATAATAGCTTTAGGGTTAATGTGTTGTTGTGGGGAGAGTAATAATGTCATGTGAATGGTAACAATCTTAGCTATGATTATTTCAATTCAAGTCCTCTAATTAATTATCTACCAACTTGGAGTAGCGAACCATTGGAGCACACACTTTAACAACATCTTTCTGTTGGAAGAGCTCTAAAGGTGGCAGATAATTGAAATTCCAAGTGCCCATCTCATCTATTCCTAGTGATTCATATCCATGATGAATATGATGATTGTTTGGAATATCCATGGCCAGAATGTCATTATCAGTATCAGCCATGAATAAATATTATCTGAAATTTAAACAATAAAAAAATTTAAATTGTAAAATTGTATAATTATCTGTTCTTAGATTAAATCAAAACTGATTTGTTTCTATCCAAGCTCTCACTACTCTCAGACTTCATCTCTGTCAATGTCAAACTACTCTACACTGAAATAAATTTACTGTTATTATAAATATAATAGGAAAATATAATAAATAATGATAAGTATATTTATGACTATGCCAAAGTCTATCTAGGTATAATCCTAAATAATATAGCCCTCCAGCCTTATATTTATATAATTATAATTATTAGGGACACATTCATGATTCTTCGTGAAATTCGAAAAAATAGTGGCAGTCGACCCCATTTTTTACCGAAGTAAGTAACATATGGACTAAAGACAATTCAAGTATCTTTAACTTTAAGTCTTTAAGACTAAGACTATCATTTGATACCGAATTTTGTCTTACAAACTAACACTAACAACATTAACAAACCCTACAATAATTTTTTTTTTTTAATTTTTTTATCCCAACCTCTCACTTCTCAGACCCGGGTCCGACTAGGCACTTCGATTAATGTATTTAATTACACTGTGTAACCGGCTGAAAAGTATTCAAGTAGACTTTTGGCCCACAGCTAACTTGAACTAGTTATAAGTCTAACCGAGGAAAACTTACCCTGAAGTCTGAAGTTAAATCTAATACCAAAAGTAGAAAAAAATAATGGTACATTTCCGGTTTATTTAGTCCAACATTTTATCCTCCAAAAAAAATCCCAACTATTTATGAGTGCCCACTGGGGTAATACTTCCACAAATTATAAATAGTCAATTACATTAAATGGAAAAACAAATATTTTATGTTGCATTAAAATGTATATAGAGTATTTCGTGACCTAAAAGATGCATTAAATATCCCCAAAAAGTGAGTGAAAGGCGTATGGTTTAACCTACATTAACCGTTAATTCAAACGTAAAACTTAACCTTATTGAATTGTTCATTGTGGGATCTAAAATCGAAAGCACTGTTTCTTTCAAGCATCTCTTCGGGGAGCGGTGGCACCCCCACCTATCGGATAAATTCAAAGCCCCCCCCCAACTTCCCCCACTCCCCCCCCCGGAGAAAAAGGTGTACAACAAAAAAAATGAAAATATATTTTATTTTTAAAATCTCATTAAATTGTCATTTTAAAATAATTTTAGTCTTGTAACAGATGCCAGAAATACTGTTTCTTTCAAGCATCTCTTCGGGGAGCGGTGGCACCCCCACCTATCGGATAAATTCAACGCCCCCCCCCAACTTCCCCCACTCCCCCCCCCCGGAGAAAAAGGTGTACAACAAAAAAAATGAAAATATATTTTATTTTTAAAATCTCATTAAATTGTCATTTTAAAATAATTTTAGTCTTGTAACAGATGCCAGAAAAACATGGATTCTTAGTACAATAAACACGGGCTTCTGGGTACAAGTAAACACTGGCTATTTACTCATTGGGGTCGTCCATTAATTACGTCAACAATATTTACGCAATTTTGACCCCCCTCCCCCCCCCCATTTTTGTCAACGGCTGTCAAACTTTCAATGACCCCCCATTTAATTATGTCAAAATTTTCTTTAAAAAAGGATTCATATTATAAATAAATTTTTAAAAACATTTTACTTATGCTGATCTATTTTAAAACAATAAAATTGTAGGAAAACATTTTAGTACATCTTTAGCTTGTTAATCAACAAGTTTAAAAGTTTGTACACTTAAATTTTATAATGCAGAATCAATTGAAAGGTTGTTAAAGACTAAACATCATTCTTTGTGAAATAAATATGATTATTATCAGTAAAGCTGACAATTATAGTATAGGTTCTAGCTGCTGTCATCGCCACATGAAGTAGCCAGGTTTGCTCTATCGTAACAATGGGCATCGGGGAAATCATTGGGTAGGGCAGGGGGCATTACCCCCACCTAATTTGCAGGTTTTATTTAAATTGCTATGTACTGTGACCCTCCAGTAATAAACAGCTTAACAAGCAGACCAAGTTTTGGTTTTTGCCCCCCCTCCCCCCCCCCCACGTCCCCTGACAAAACATGTAATGATGCCCCTGATGGGCTAAGTCTATAGCAGCTGATTCATCATTTTCATCTTGTGGCACTGATATATCAGATAAGTCAACATCATCCTCATCTGACAATTCAGCACTTAAAATAGAAGCATTTTCAGTGTGGGCAATAATTGCCATAAGCTCTCTCTATCTCTTTGCAGCTACTGGCATTGGTCGAATCCTTTTTTGTTGAGGAACAGGTGGTATTTTTTTATGCTCAAGAGGGCATTGTCGGTGCTGTTGAACATGCTTTTTCAACATGACTTGTGATGCAAAATTGATGTGACAGATTTTGCATATCCGTTTAATCAGCGATGTTGTTATTGTTACTCACTTTACATTCACCTAATTCTCAAAATATCGTATTCCTAATCTATCAATTTCATTTCTCTTGACTGGACATGCCACTTGAACCTTGTCCTTGTTCCATACCAGCAACAGAATTTACATGTGAAGAGAGGCCACATTTCACATTTTGACCTCTCTTGCACTATCAAAGTGTGTTAACATTCTGACCAGCCATCTACAGTGCACAGTCAAAAACACATTAAAGAAATCTCATATTATTAAAAAACCTAAAAAATTATATGACTATTTACACTCATTTACACTTAAACATTTTTAAAAATAATTTAATAACCAGTCAATTTTTAAGATTAAAATTTAAATAGAGAAAACATGATTGTTGACGTCAACTAATCTAACCCCCCTCCACCACCACCCCTTGTCAATAAACTGTCAAACATTTCCAACCACTTCCCCCCTATTATGTTGAGACAGTTAATGGACGCCCCCCCCCCCATTAGGGTTTTTCTTTATTCTAAGATCGGAAAACATAACATCGCATGGTAGGTATTTTTATTTAAAACTCGATAATGTTGGATGTTTTGGCTAATCATAGCGTGATGGGGGCAGGGGAGGGGCAGATGTCCCCGGGCGCCAGCTAGTTAGGGGCGCCAAAATGTGCCTTGATATTATTTTATTGATGAAAATAATGGGTTTGTGAGTTGAAAAAAAGAAAAAGGGGCGCTAAAAATGGATCTTGTCCCCGGGCGCGAATCTTGTCCCCGGGCGCCAAACACCCTCGCTACGCCACTGATGCTGCGTAGGGGAGAGCGGGGTAGGTTGTCTACTTCTGGTTGTCTTATCGCATGTATTTTAAAGATCAGAAAAGATTCGAAAGATTTCAATGCTGCCCTTAGTGCAAAACTAAAAAGTAAACATTTAAGTATCTCTGCATATGTGATTTCAAACCATTTAAGTGTGTAAATTAAACAACGCTAAAAACAAAGTTTTTCATATAATAATTTATGTGCATTTTAAAATTATTTTAAAAAATATTTACATTCTAATGTCCCACCCGCTTTCACAAATTCGTTTCACCAACTATTTCAGAAAAATCAAAAGAAAATATTTCGCACCAAAAGCACAATAAGTTTAAATAGTCTAATATTACTTTCACAATACAGAAAACATGTATGGCACCACAGAGGCTTTTTTCCACAAACATAATTACACAAACATTACATTAGAAACACTTTTTAGATTTAAAATACAAAACATAATTCAAAACATAATTTAATTTAAAAAAAATAATGACAAACTAATACAAATATATATATATATATATATATATATATATATATTTAAAGCAGTTACCGGGAATAAATGTTTAATATAGTACAAGATATATATTTAGAATTTCAGTAACTATTATGTCAATAGGTTATTTAAAATACAAAACATAAATCAAAACATAATTTAATTTAAAAAAAATAATGACAAACTAATACAAATATATATATATATATATATATATATATATATTTAAAGCAGTTACCGGGAATAAATGTTTAATATAGTACAAGCTATTTATTTAGAATTTCAGTAACTATTATGTCAATAGGTTATTTCAGCACATGACGTAAAACTTTGTGTAGTTAAAATGTCGGTTATTTTTGCCAGTGAATATATAAATAGTTTACTCTGTCTGTGTTGTATATTTTTTTTAATTTTTTTAATTTTAAAAAAAAATAATTTTAATTATTATGTTTAAAGATAATAATTCTAATATTTTTTTTCAGAAAGATTCGAAAGATTTTTAATACTGCCCTTAGTGCGAAACTACAAAGTAACTACCTATACATTAAAGTATATCTGCTTATGTGCTTTCAAACCATTTAAGTGTGTAAATAAAACAACTCCTAAAAACAAAATTTTTCATGTAAATAATTTAGGTGCAGACAAAATACGTTGTTTTTTTTTTAAATTTGAAAAAAAAAGCAGTTATCGGGAATTTTATTTCGTCATATCAGTGGCATCATCTTTCTTTCATCTTCCCCCTTGCGAAATAGGAAAAACTGATTTTGGGGGTGGGGGTTGAAAATTTGATAGCATATGAGGCAACGAGTCTATGGGACAAGTCTTAGCTCGATAGATTGAAGGGAAGTGGATAAATTATTCGCCTAAAGATTTTGCCAGCCAGCCACGAAAATAGCGATTGTAATATAAAGGATTTAATTAAGAGATATTGATTTTTTAATATTTTTTTTTACCATGGTAAATGAATTTTCTACTACAGTGATTTTTTTTATTGTATTAAAGTTAAATCAATAGTTACATTATTCATCCTTAAATTAAAAACCTATAACGATATTTTCTTTAACAACTTGCAGCATGTTTCAATATAAAAACAATTAATTCAATGGCACTTTTCACGATGGGGTTGCTTGCCCCAAATTTCGTTGGGCTTGTGGTTACTGTTTAACAAGCAATCCTTTTCAATTTAAAATATTATTTCAAATTTAACATTTTAGAAAATTCTAGGTAAAAAACATATCTCTCCTCGCAGTTACTAATTCATTAAACATCACGATTATTACATTACAAAGGCTGTTATTTTATATTTTAGTTTCCACGAATAAATCTGTGTATTGTGTACAAATGTGTTACGGCTCACTATTGTCATATTAAATGTTGGGTTCACATCAAAGGGAAAACCCCGAAAACAAATGAGTTTGTTCCATGCATCGCACTCACTGCTTGTACAAGCAATTTAAAAGTCCTAACTTACTTTTTTTTAAAAATATTACTGGATAAGAGCATGTACACATTTTTGAGCTTATAAGCTACTAGTGTACATCCACGAACCAATGATAAAATATGAGGGTACGTCAGAGGCGTAGCTAGAGTGTTTGGTGCCCGGGGACAAGGTTCATTTTAAAGAGCCCCCCCCCCCCTTTCTTTCTTTTATTCTCAATCCCATTAGTTTCATCAATAAAATATGACCAAAGCACACTTTAAAGCCCCTGACTAGTCTAGCGCCCAGGGACATCTGTACCCCTGCCCTTCCTTAGCTACGCCTCTGCTGTACATCCAGCCACCACATATAAGCTATGAGAGTACATCCACCCACCACATATTAGCTATGAGAGTACATCCACTCGCCACATATAAACTATGAGT